GACAATAATAACAGAAAGGAGGAGGTTGATGGAGTTTTTAAAGGATCGACATTTTTGAATACTATTAAAACTGGGTTATTATTAATTTGAACTTGATTATTACAAAGTTAAGATGCTAATCCTAATACCCAGTGTAACCTCAGTGTTATAGACTGAATATTGTCCCCCTAGATTTCGTAGGTTGAAACTTTAATTCTCAGTGTGATGGTATCTTGAAATGGGGCCTTTGAGAGGTAATTAAGTTTAGATCAGGTCATGAGGATGGGGTCCTCGTGATGGGTTTTGTGTCCTTTTAAAAAGAAACCAGAGAGCTTGCTTCCTCTCTGTTTCTCCTCTTCCCTACCTCTTCAACCTCCCCCACCAACACACTGTGAGAGTACAGCAAAACCACCATCAACAAGCCAGGAAGCGAGCTCTTACCAGAAACGGAATTGGCTGACACCTTGATCTGGGACTTCTCAGACTCTAGAACTGTGAGAAATAAATGGCTATTGTTTAACCCACCCAGTCTATCATATTTGATTATAGCAGCCGAAACTAAGACATCCAGAAAAAAAATTTAAATGTACAAAATAATACAGTACAAATGTTAAGCATACAAACTAATTCTAAAACGTGTGTAGAAAGTAAAAAGAAAAAGAATAGCTAAAATACTTTTTGGCAAGAAAAAGTCTGAAAATTATACTATGTGATTTTAAGGTTTATGATAAAGCTACAAAAATCATGACAGTATGATATCAATGAAAGAAGAGACAAATAAATCAGTGAAACCTATTTCTATGCAGAGTTCACAGAAATAAAACAACAACAACAAAAATGAAACAAAATAGAAAGTCCAAAAACAAACCTACCAAAATATGGTCTTTTATTTTTAACAGTGGTGCAAAAGAAATTCAGTGAAGAAAGCACAATTTTTTCAGCAGATGTAACTGAAAGAATAAGGCAGACTTATTCAAAATAAAACAACTAAATCTCTTCAATTATATAAAAATTTACTCAAAATGGATCATGGGTCTAAACAGACAATATGAAAATATATAACTTTCAGAAAAAATGTAGAATTAAATTTTCATGATCTTGGGTTAGATACTCAAAGTACAATAAAAAGACAATGACAAACTGAACATCATCAAAATTAAAGTCTTTTGTTTATGAAAGATAAAATTAAGAGAATGAAGAGACAAGCTAGAGACCGAGAAAAAATATTTGCAAACCACATATCTAGTAAAAAAATACACATCAAGAATTTACCAAGCAATCTAAAATTTCAACACTAAGACAATCCAATTTTTAAAATGAGCAGATTTAAATAGGCACTTCAGCAAGAGGATACACTGATGGCAACTAAGCGTAAGAAAAGGTGGGCCAGGCGTAGTGACTCAGGCCTGTAATCCCAGCAGTTTGGGAGGCTGAGGTGGGAAGAGGATTGCTTGACCCCAGGAGTTCGAGAGCAGCCTGAGCAACATGATAATATGCCTGTCTCTACAAAAAATTTTTAAAACAGCCATGCATGGTGGCACTCGTGGGTAGTACCAGCTGCTCAGGTGGGTAAAGCAGGAAAAATCACTTGAGCCTAGGCAGTAGAGGCTGCAGTGAAGTATAATCATGTCACTGTAACTCAGTTTGGGGGATGGAACAAAACACTTTCTCTCTAAAAAACAAAAAAAGGAAAAAAGAAAATGTGTTCAACATGATTAGACACATGGGAAATGTAAATTAAAATAACAATGAGATAACACAAGAAGTGTATTAGAAGGCGAGTATTTTTTAATACTAAGTGCTGTCAGGACGCAGAACAACTGCCATTCACATGCATCGCTGCTGGGGATGCAACATGACAGTCATTCTGAATGGCCATTTGGTGGTTTCTTACAAAGCAAAACATACATTTACCACATTACCTTATAATCTCATTCCTGGGTATTTACCAATGAATTTCAAAGGCATTATGCTGAGTGAAAGAAGCCAATCTCAAGAAATTTTAAATTGTATGATTCAATTTTTATGATAATTTCAAAAAATAAAACTAAGGTGATGAAAAACAGTGATTTCTATGGGTTAAAGGTTAGGGGAGGGTGTGATAGGATAGAGTTCCTTGGGTTTATAGCACTTTTCAGTAACCTGATTGTGGTGGTTACAAGAATATCTCTATATATGTTAAATGCATAGAACTAGACAGCAAAAAATCAGTAATAATAAAAATAATAAACACATGCTAATCAACATTTTAGCACAGAAAGGTGCACAGTAAGCATTCGTTGGATCAATTAAAAAATGATATTGGAGGCCACAACTGCCATGTTCCACACTGCCACAGCCTAGTTTAAATTACTGTGTCTGCTGTCCATGTGAATACTGCACATGTTATATACATGTTATGTGTCCATGTGTACATAAGCAAGAGTGACTCCTGGAGGGAGGGCAAGTCACTTTTAGACAAATTTTGTTGCTGAAACACCAGGAGTTCGGTCAAGGTCCTGCTGCTCCCTGCACAGAATGCCAATCACTGAGTCAACAAAGATTGCCAGAGAAGGCTTTAATCTGGTCCCGCAGCCAAGGAAAATAGGACGTCAGTCTCAAATCTGTCTCCCTGACTGACCAAAATTGGTCTGTTCGCATAGCTGAGAAGGTGGGAAAACAGAAATTAGGAAGGGTTAAGGAAGCAATCCTGATGAATGAGGCGTTTGGTGTCTCATTATCTGGATGTGGTGATTCAGTCACTTGCCTGAGGGTCAGTTTCTCGAGGAAAAAACTCAGTTAAGACAAATGTAAGTTTCAAGTTTTAAGACAGAGGGCCGATGTCTATGTTTATTCAAAAATCCATAAACACATGACAATTTTGCCAGTTTCAACTTCAGGACATTTTAACCATTGTGGACTCAGTGACCTATGAAGTATACAGGCCAGGGAAACGTCCTCTTTTGCCTTCTGAAGTTTCACTGAAAAATCAACTCACAGAATTTTACTTAAAAATATGGCCGGGCGCGGTGGCTCAAGCCTGTAATCCTAGCACTTTGGGAGGCCGAGGCGGGTGGATCACGAGGGCAAGAGATTGAGACCATCCTGGTCAACATGGTGAAACCCTGTGTCTACTAAAAAAAAAAAAAAAAAATACAAAAAATTAGCTGGGCATGGTGGTGCGCGCCTGTAATCCCAGCTACTCGGGAGGCTGAGGCAGAAGAATTGCCTGAACCCGGGAGGCGGAGGTTGCGGTGAGCCGAGATCGCGCTATTGCACTCCAGCCTGGGTAACAAGAGTGAAACTCCGTCTCAAAAATATATAGGCAGAACCACAGAATGGTTACCCACCCACAACAGGGTTTAGAGACTTATTTACTGGCAAATAAGGTTATGGAAGAAGGAGAAAGAGGAATTCTGTAGAGGGGATCACTAGGGAGAATGAATGGATCAGGAAGCAGAGATTACCTTGTACATTACCTTGTGAAAAGGTTTGTTCAGAAGGAGTTACATTCTTGGTCTTACAAGGAAAGGAAAAAAAAAAAACAGTTGTTCCTTTTGGTGGGTCTTGATCTTAGGGATATAAAGAAACTTCACTTTGGGAGAGGTGGTAGGAAGTAAAGGTCAGAGAAATCTTGAGGCTTTCCAGTTCAGTATGTCAAAGTGCCATATTTTGAGGTATCCGTTTCTGAGTCCCAACACATTCTTGGTCTTCTTTTTAGGTAATGGGTCATGAGATAACAGGGAGGGGAAAAAGAACAATTGTCCTCTTTGGTGGGTCCCTCCTATATTTATGTAGACGGGGGTCTTTTCCAGAGCTTGTTGATCTCTAAAGGTCTTTAATTCAAAATCTTTACTATACTAGGGAGCCATATGTTGGGGTGGAATTTCCTGCACTCTTTCACCCCCAAATCCAAATTTAGAAATAGTTTCTAATTTTTTTAAGGCAATGTCTTTTATTTCTTCTGGCCACTGTGATTGATTTTGTGACGGATCCATGAACCAAGAAAGGTAATCAAAGCTGACAAGGTTCAATTTCAGGACTACTGTTTAAGCTATTGAGAAAGTAAAATCTCTTTTTTGTTGTTTGAGCTTGAAACCATGTCACTCCAAGGACAGTCAGTAAATACCTTTCAGTAATAAGGGGACTGAGAGAGAGAGTTTCCTGAGAGATCAAGAAGGCAGACGGAAGAACAAGAAGTGAGAAATTGGTCCTGGCCATATTATTGTTTCTCTAGTCCTGTTTAACTGGTGATAAGCTTAATTCATGAGAAAGATCCTAGATCCTTTCCCCAGTCCTGCTGCATTCAAATCTCCAGGGAAGTCCTAGAATTGTCTAGTCTCCCCTGAAGCTAGCCATAATGCCAGAATTTGAGGAATATGAACCAATAAATTTCCGTTATAGTTTAAGGTAAGTCTGTGTATTAGTCCATTCTCATACTACTAATAAAGATAAACCAAGTCTGAATAATTTATAAAGAAAAAGAGATTTAATTGACTGACAGTTCCACATGGCTGGGGAGGTCTCACAATCATGGCAGAAGGCAAAGGAGGAACGAAGGCACATCTTACATGGCAGCAGGCAAGAGAGCGTGTGCAGCAGAACTGTCCTTTACAAAATCATCAGATCTCATGTGACTTATTCGCTATCATGAGAACAGCACAGGAAAAACACATGGTTCAATTACCTCCATGTGTTCAATTACCCCCATGGTTCAATTACCTCCCACTGAGTCTCTCCCATGACATATGGGGATTATCGGAGCTACAATTCAAGATGAGATTTGGATGGGAACACAGCCCAACCATATCAGTTTGTTATTTGCCAACAAAGGCATCCTAACTGATAGAGTCCAGATAGATCTGTCTCTTTTGTTTTTTCGATCTTTTGTTGCAAAGAAGTAAGTGTAAACTCTCAATACCTTATGTTTTACAAGCCTCTTATGAAGTTCAAAGGACAAACATGCTCAGGATTTCCAGGAACACCTGGAACAACAACAGGTTGAGAAATAGATCTGTTAATACCCCTTCCCTCTGCTCCTCCCTCTGGTCTTCCTTTTGTTGACTGAATAGGCCCTAGGACACCTCTTTGAAAAGACTCCGCAGTGTTCAAAATCACTCCTACAATCAGATTCTCTCTTCACAATGGATCTCAGTGCTGCACATCACCGCATACCTCTAAGTGATGGAAACAGCATTCCCATAATCGGACTTGGTACCTACTCAGAACCTAAATCAGTAAGCTTACCTTTTCTCTCTTTGCTTGTTTCTTTTAACGTGTGCCTATAGCATAATCTATAATTTATTTTAAGCAGATCTCATTGACTTGCTTTTTGTAGAAATGCAAGCAACCTCAATTTGTAATAATGAAAGGACTACTACTTACTGAATGGGTATTGAGCCAAAGGTTAAACTAAATCAATTCATGATTTAAAATTAGTTTGGATTTGAGAATGACAGCTTTCTTCTTCCTTTACTGAAATTTAGCTAACTGCTGATTACAAGAGTGAACTGAGCCACATGAAATTTGTGTGTTTATGACTTGTGTGGTTTTTTGTTTTGTTTTGTTTTGTTTTGTTTTTTGAGGTGGAGTTTCGCTCTTGTTACCCAGGCTGGAGTGCAATGGCGCGATCTTGGCTCACCACAACCTCCGCCTCCTGGGTTCAGGCAATTCTCCTGCCTCAGCCTCCTGAGTAGCTGGGATCACAGGCACACGCCACCATGCCCAGCTAATTTTTTTTTTTGTATTTTTAGTAGAGACGGGGTTTCACCTCGTTGACCAGGATTGTCTCGATCTCTTGACCTCGTGATCCACCCGCCTCGGTCTCCCAAAGTGCTGGGATTACAGGCTTGAGCCACCGTGCCCGGCCGGTTTTTTTTTTATGTTAGATAATTTTTAGTTTAGTCTAACAAACGTCTAGTGAAGACTTGCCATGCACTAAGCACTAGGTGATAGAAATGTCATATATAAAGAAAACAGTGTCTCTGTTACCTAGGATTAAAAATCAAATAGAGGGGGTAGATTCTTTACAACCAATTGTAGAACAATAAAGATAACTATCAATTATATTCTAGAACTCTCTGTAAACAGTCTCTGAAAGCGTTAAGTATTAGTCCATTCTCATGCTGCTATTAAAGACATACCCTAGAGACTGGATAATTTATAAAGAAAGGAGGTTTAATGACTCACAGTTCATCATGGTTGGGGATACCTCAGGAAACATAATTATGGCAGAAGGAGAAGAAAGCACATTCTTTTTCACATGGCAGCAGCAAGGAGAAGTGCTGAGCCAAAGGGGAAAAGCCCCTTATAAAACCATCAGATCTCATGAGAATTCACTCACTATCACGGGAACAGCATGGAAGTAACTGCCCCCATGATTCAATTACCTCCTAGCAGGTCCCTCCTACAACATGTGAGGATTACGGGAAATACAATTCAAGATGAGATTTGGGTGGAGACACAGCCACATGGAGAGTCTCTGCTAGGGCAGTATGGAAGGGAGATGTGGGGTCAGAGGCCCCACACAGAGTTCCCACTGAGGCACTTCCTAGTGAAGCTAAGAGAAGAGGGCTACTATTCTCCAGAGTCCAGAATGATAGATCCACCGATAGCTTGCATGGTATACCTAGAAAAGCCATAGGTACTCAACACCAACTTGTGAAAGCAGCTAGAAGCGGGGTTATACCCTGCAAAGCCACAGAAATGGAGCTGCCCGAGGCTGTAGGAGCCCACCTCTTGCATCAGCCTGCCCTGGATGTGAGACATGGAGTAAAAGATCATTTCAGAGCTTTAAGATTTGACTGCCCTGCTGGATTTCAGAGTTGTGTGGAGACTGTAGCATTTTTGTTTGGGCCAATTTCTCCCATTTGGAATGTGTGTATTTGTCCAATGTGTGTACCCTCATTGTTTCTAGGAAGTAACTAACTTGCTTTTGATTTTATAGGCTCATAGGCAGAAAGGACTTCCCTTGTCTCAGATGAGGCTTTGGACTTGGACTTTCGGGTTAATGTCAAAATGAGCTAAGACTTTGGGGGATTGTTGGAAGGGCATGATTGTGTTTTGAAATTTGAGTACATGAGTTTTGGGAGGGGCCAGGGCAGAATGATATGGTTTGGCTGAGGCTGCACATAGCAGGGGGGCCCTGGGCTGGGCTTACAAAACCATTTTTTCCTTCTAGGCCTCCCAGCCTATAATGAGAGGGGTTGCCACAAAGGTCTCTGACATGCCTTAGAGACATTTTCTCCATTGTCTTGGTGATTAAAATTCAGTTTGTTGTTACTTATGCAAATTTCTGTAGCAGGCTTGAATTTCTCCCCCCAAAAATGGGCTTTTCTGTTATATTGCGTTGGCCTAAGATGATGGGGTTTTCCAAATATACAATCATGTCATCTGTAAACAGAGACAATTTGACTTCCTCTCTTCCTATTTGAATACCTTTATTTCCTTCTCTTGCATGATTGCCCTGGCCAGAACTTTCAATACTATGTTGAATAGGAGTAGTGAAAGAGGGCATCCTTGTCTTGTGCCAGTTTTCCAAGGGAATTCTTCCAGTTTTTATCCATTCAGTCTGATATTGGCTGTGGGTTTGCCATGAATAGCTCTTATTATTTTGAGATATGTTTCATCAATAACTAGGTTATTGGGAATTTTTAGCATGAAGGGCTGTTGAATTTTGGCCTTTTCTGCATCTATTGAGATAATCATGTGGTTTTTATCACTGGTTCTGCTTATGTGGTGGATTATGTTGATTTATGTATGTTGAACCAGGCTTACATCCCAGGGATGAAGCCAACTTGGTCACGGTGGATAAGCTTCTTGATGTGCTGCTGGATTTGGTTTGCCAGTATTTTATTGAGGGTTTCACATCAATGTTCATCAGGGATATTGGTCTGAAATTTTATTTTTATTTTTATTTTTATTTTTGTCTCTGCCAGGTTTTGGTATCAGGATGATGCTGGCCTCATAAAATGAGTTAGGGAGGATTTCCTCTTTTTCTGTTGTTTGGAATAGTTTCTCAGAAGGAATGGTACCAGCTCCTTTTTGTACCTCTGGTAGAATTCAGCTGTGAATCCATCTGGTCCTGCACTTTTTTTGTTGGTAGGCTATTAATTAATCATTGCCTCAATTGCAGAACTTGTAATTGGTCAATTCCAGGATTTGACTTCTTCCTCTTGGGAGGGTGTATCTGTCCAGGAATTTATCCATTTATTCCAGAGTTTCTAGTTTATTTGCATAGAGGTGTTTATTGTATTCTCTGATGGTAATTTCTATTTCTGTGGGATCAGTGGTGATATCCCCTCTATCATTTTTTATTGTGTCTATTTAATTATTCTCTCTTTTCTTTTTTATTAGTCTGGCTAGCTCTCTATTTTGTTGATCTTTTCAAAAAACTAGCTCCTGGATTCATTGATTTTTTGAAGAGTTTTTTGTGTGCCTATCTCCTTCAGTTCTGCTCTGATCTTAGTTATTTCTTTTCTTCTGCTAGCTTTTGAATTTTTGTGCTCTTGCTTCTCTAGTTCTTTTAATTGTGTTGTTAGGGTGTCGATTTTAGATCTTTCCTGCTTTCTCTTGTGGGCAAGTAGTGATATAAACTTCCCCCTAAACACTACTTGAAATGTGTCCCAGAGATTCTGGTACATTATGTCTTTGTTCTTATTGGTTTCAAAGAACATCTTTATTTCTACCTTCATTTCATTATTTACCCAGTAGTCATTCAAAAGGAGGTTGTTCAGTTTCCATGTAGTTGTGCAGTTTTGATCGAGTTTCTTAATCCTGAGTTCTAATTTGATTGCACTGTAATCTGAGAGACTGTTTGTTATTATTTCCATTCATTTGCATTTACTGAAGAGTGTTTTTCTTCCAATTATGTGGTCAGTTTTAAAATAAGTGTGATATGGTGCTGAGAAGAATGTATATTCTGCTGATTTGGGGTAAAGAGTTCTATAGATGTCTATTAGGTCTGCTTGGTCCACAGCTGAGTTCAAGTCCTGGATATTCTAGTTGATTTTCTGTCTCGTTTATCTGTGGAATATTGACAGTGGGGTGTTAAAGTCTCCCACTATTACTGTGTGGAAGTCTAAGTAACTTTGCAGATCTCTAAAAATTTGCTTTATAAATCTGGGTGCTCCTGTACTGGATGCATATATATTTAGAATAGTTAGCTCTTCTTACTGCATTGATTCCTTTACCATTATGTAATGCCTTTCTTTGTCTCTTTTAATCTTTGTTGGTTTAAAGTCTGTTTTATCAGAGACTAGGATTGCAATCCCTACTTTTTTTTTCCTTCCATTTGCATGGTAAATCTTCCTCCATCGCTTTATTTTGAGCCTATGTGTGACAGGAGATGGTTCTACTGAATATAGCAAAATGATGGGTCTTGCCTCTATCCAGTTTGTCAGTCTGTGTCTTTTAATTTGGGCATTTATCCTGTTTATATTTAAGGTTAATATTTTTATGTGTGAATTTGATCCTGTCATTATTATGCTAGCTGGTTAATTTGCTCATTAGTTGATGCAGTTTCTTCATAGAGTCAATGGTCTTTACAATGTAGTATCATTCTGCAGTGGCTGGTATTGCTTGTTTCTTTCCATGTTTAATGCTTCCTTCAGTAGTTCTTATATCACAGGCCTGCTGGTGAGAAAATCCTTCAGCATTTGCTTGTCTGTAAAGGATTTTATTTCTTTTTCGCTTATGAAGCTTAGTTTGGCTGGATATTAAATTCTGGGTTGAAAATTCTTTTCTTTAAGAGTGTTGAATATTGGCCCCCACTCTCTTCTGGCTTACAGGGTTTCTGCTGAGAGATCTGCTGTGAGTCTGATGGGCTTCGCTTTGTGGGTCACCTGACCATTCTCTCTGGCTGTCCTTAGCATTTTTTTCTTCATTTCAACTTTGGCGAATCTGATGATTATGTGTCTCGGGGTTGCTTTTCTCGAGGAATATCTTCGTGGTGTTCTCCGTGTTTCCTGAATTCGAATGTTGGCCTGCCTTGCTAGGTCGGGGAAATTCTTCTGGATAGTATCCTGAAGAGTGTTTTCCAATTTGGTTCCCTTCTCCCTGTCACTTTTAGGTACACCAATCAAACACAGCTTTGGTCTTTTCACATAGTCCCATATTTCTTGGAGGCTTTGGTCATTTCTTTTTACTTTTTTTTCTCTAATCTTTTCTTCTCACTTTATTTCACTGAGTCAATCTTCAATCTCTGATATCCTTTCTTCTGCTTGATTGATTCAGCTAA